AGAAGTGTGCCTGTGGGGTCTGAGGGCAGAACACAGAGTCCCCATTCTGAGAGACACATTCATATTTAGAGCCTCTGGATTTTTCTCCCACTCCGAGTCCAGAGCATCATCTTATCTGAGGTGGGGTAGCCTGGCCCTTCATCTGTCCTAAATAGGGCCAGCATCATGGATGTGCCTCGCCTTCTGCTACTATCCTGTCTGGAAAGTCTTGATTTTATTCTTGGATCCATGTTTTGTATGTAAAGTCTGATGGAGCAATGGAGCACGAGAAGAGGGAATATGCATGACACAAACAGCTGCTGTTCTTGCTGCCTCCTGAGCCCTGAATTGTGGTTGTCCCACATGCTTGGGAGTTCAGTGAGGTGTGAGCATGTTTCATCTTTGACTGAATAAGTGGGGGTGCTGACAGCTCTGAGAGATGCTTTCCATTCAAAGTTGGACTTGTTTTGAAGGCAGAAAAAGGGCAATGACCCTCTAAAAACATAAACAGCCAAAAACTAACATATCCATTTTTACTTTTGGTAGTCTCTGTCTTAGCCAACCACATACAGAGAAGACAGAAGGACAAGGAAATATAGGGCACCCCCTAATCCATTTCCTTTCAGTCTTAACTTACTCATCCATAAGCTGAAGGTAGAGTATTGGTAGAGTGTGTAAATATCAAGAAGTGAAATAAAAACAGCTGAGTCAGTTTTGTGCAGCATTCCCACTGTTCTGAGAAGAACAAAATACATATTCACATATAAGCTACAAAATATGAATTAGATAATTTCAGTGATTCTGCTTATAAGTTAAATGCTCTTATATATGCATTGTTTTCTCTTACATATGCATTTAAAACTGGTATTTCACAATATAAAAATGAATAATAAAAATCAGGCTAATAATTTCAATCTTCAGTTTTTGTTTAGAACAGCATTAAGTAACATTTTTTAAAAACATAACAACTTGAGAGAGAGACTATGGAAGAAAGAAAACCTTTTTATTCTAGAACTTTTAACAGCACTTTGTTTTGGGCTCTGCAAACTATACTTCCAAATCTATGGTTTATGTTGTCTTGTAGTTTGTGAAAACCCAGGCCTGTTCTCTACAACTATTGCCTCTGCTCTGAATTCTCAAAGCTCATTTCAAGACCTGTAAGTTAAGCGTTGACCCTTCCTTCTAAGCCTCTGCTGCACAAGATTTGTAACCTGAGGGAATGGACTGGGGTATAGGAAATGCAGGGAAACCACATTAGTGAATAACTTACCCCCTATATAAAAAAACAAAACAGAACAATACCTAGCAACTATCAATTTCTCAAAGGCAAGGGCTTTCTTCCTTTTCCCTGCGCTTACCACAGTATTTTCCTGTAATTGGGACTTAATAGCTGTCCTTTCCTTAGTTTTGCTCAATTAAGTTTAAATCGCTTTTTTCATCATGCTATTCCAGTTCTCAAACACCGTCAAAAGCTCCCTATTGCCTTCTCCTATACGTTGAAAAATTAACTAGGCATTTAAGGTTCTATAATCTGGGCTCAATCTACTTTTCCAAGTTTATCTCTCAAAACTCTCTAGAACTCAGTAAGTAACTGTTGAGCAAATACAGCATGATTGGATTACACAGTTCCTAGGAGTTACAGTAACTACAGATGAATAAATCATTAGGCCTTTTAGGGCTACGTTTATGTAATAGATGCAGGTTACCATTAATGCCCCAGTATTGGGAGCTAGTGACGAGTGTTTAGAGATCCTAATTGGGGATCATAAGATGTGTGATTCTGAAAAGAGTCATCTCTGCAGAATCACAGTCTGGCTTCTGCAGTAACCAGGGACCCAAAACTGGTCAGACAGAAGCCTGCAGCTCTGGCTTAGTCCACCTGGGAGTGGTGCGGCCCCTGGGCCGCGTGGCTTGCCCTGCAGAGCTCCCTACCTGGGCTCAGGTGAGCTTCTTCATGTGGGAGTTTGAGGACCATGAAATCATAGCCATTACTAAGGGTCAGAGTTTTGTATGCTAGTAATGAGCCATTAAGGAAAACTTTGGGCAGAGACAGGCTTCTAAGGCAGTAAGACCCAAGCAGGGGCTATTCTTAGTGTACCTTTGTGGGAAACAGTTGCATCTCCAGCTTGCCTGCTCTGGGTCGATTCAAAACCCAGACATGGTTGGCAGAAAGATTAAGAGCCATCACATTCATTCCTTGTTTTGGGGTTCGAAGACTCCTAAATCTTTTCAGAAAACTACCTTTTTATCCCCAAACTTTCTGGTAATTCCACTTATCAACCCTGATTTCAGGGAGCTATTTCTTCTCTCTAACCTAAATCTCTACAGCTAATTATCTTCTTCATCTCATCCCTCTCTGTCAACTTTAGAAGGCCTCTGTGTCTATTGCTTATTGACACAAAACTAATATTACAATCACATTATTGTTTCACCCCTCTGGTTGTTATTAGCACTGGCAGCACACTAGGAGGTATATAAAAATACATAAGCAAACACGTATTTAGGTCAGTCTTTACATAAAGCTTTGTAAAATCCAGTAATGTTCAAGTGTTTCTAAATTGGGAATGGGGAAGTAGGCAAATGTAGGTAACAGAGAGGCTAGAGTGTGTTCTGTATCTCTGACTGTGGCCCAGTCTTCAAGAGCCATCACTCTTCTCCCACCCAGCCTGGGAGGGCAACTTAACCAGATAAATGCTCTTGAACCATGTGTGGGAGAGGCAGGGAGCTGAGAGGGGATACCATGGGGGGTAGAAACTATGTGGGCCTGCAGAAGGATTCAGCTTGGAGCATGGTGGGGAGGCCTGCATGAAAACCTGCCGCAACCTCATGTATAAACTGGAAGGAAATATGTGAGTCAAATGTGAGTTGTAACTATACCTTCCTAACCTTCCCTCAAAGTGCCCCAGCCAAAAGCAGAAATGAAAAACACACCGATGCACCCTATAATGAAAGCTATCCTGAGGCCTGGGGCCTAGGTGATCATGTCCTGTTTCTTACTTTTTTTCGCTTACAAAACATTTTAAAGATTTGTTCATGTTGCAAGATTTATATTTAGTGCATTACTTCCAACGGCTGCATGTTCCATAGCATCCACTCCATTTTACTCACTAAGTGTGCCTGTAACACATTGCCACCTCAAGTACTGTTGTGATGAATATCCTCAATTGTGTCTTAAAAGTTCGTTCAAGAGTTTCTTAGGGGTGTATATTCCAGGAGTGGGACTGCTGGGCTATCAGGAAGACACCCACTACATTTCATTAAGGATTGCTGGATAACTCCAAAATGACTGTACCAGCTTTCACTCCCAGCATCAGTGCATGGGGTTTGCACTTCCTCCTGTCCTAGCCAACACTTGATGCTATCCAGCTTTCACATTTTTGCTATTTAATGGATGTAAATAAATTCTTGTTTTAATACACATTTATCTGGTTACAAGTGAGGTTGCATATCTCTTCATCTACTTGTTAGCCTCACAGGTTCTGTTCTGTAAATTTGTTTATATCCTTTGGCTATTTTTTCTGTTGTGTTTCCTGTTTTGTTTTTTCCTCAATGATTTGTGGTTAATTCCTCATATAGTCTAGGTATTAATCTGTGTTGGTTTTAGCCCTTGGAAATACCTCTCAATCCATCAATTTTCTCTTGCCTATGGTATTCTTTGTTGAACAGAAAACTTTAATTTTGTTGTAGTCAAGTTCATCATTCTTTTGGTTATACAGTTAATGCTTTCAGTCTTATTTAAGAAATCATTTTCCTGTCTTAAGATTCCAAAGCTGTTCTTCTGTTTTTAATTTCTGTGAGCTTTATAGTTTTTCCTTTCACCATTAGGTTTTTTTTAAATTCATCTAGAGCTCACCTTTACATATGATAGAAGCTATGGATAAAATTTAATTTTTCTCCATGGTGAATCCATTTTCCTAACATTATGTATGAAACAAAGCCTCTATATTAGGTGGGATTATCGCTCCCAATCCTTCATGTCCTCCCTGCTGTAGAATTATATACCCATGTCCTTTGCTATGTGATTTTGTACCACCTTCCACTGTTGATCTTGGACTTGGTCATGTGACTAATTTGGCCAATGGAATGTTAGAATATATGATGGGAGCAGAGGTGTTAAATGTGTTTGAGTGATTTGCCTTCACCTCTTGGGCTTCTGTCATTGTCAGAATAAACAAGCAATGAAGACCTGAATTTAACCTATGTCCTGGAGCCATGCCAAGTGGAATGTGGCTGAGCCCAACCAAGTCTTGATGAGCCCAGATGAGATCAACAGAATCTCAGTTTACACACAGGCCCATGAGGGAGAAAAAACAAATGCTGTTATAAGCCACTGATAGTCTGGGTTTGTTTATTATGTAGTATTATTACAATAGTTGACTATCTCAACATGATTTCCTTATGGATTTGTTATGTTACCATTATCACATACCAAGTTCTCAAAGGTAAATGGACTGTTTCTAAGTTCTTTATTCTGTTCTACTTCTACCATTGTACACGTCTGTTACTGTAACTTATAATATGTCTTACTATGTAGGAGGGTAAATTTCCCCTCTGTGATTTTTTTCAGAAATGACCAGATTATAATGAGATTTAGTCTTCCATATGCATTTTAGATTTAAATTCCTCAAATCCTGCTAAATTTTGAGTGGTTTGCACTGAGTTTATGAATAAATTTCAAGATCATTGATATCTTAATAATGCTATATAATCCTATCCACAAATGTTATATATACCTCTATTTAGGTCTTCTTTGAAATATTTTAATAGTGTTAACTTTTTAAACTTTTTTTCTATAAACGTTCTGTGTTTTCTCTCAGTGTAATTGCTGGAGAGTTTATAGTTGTGTTGTTTTGTAAATAGTATCTTATTTTCTAGTTTGTTAGTTGTAGTGTGTAGTAATGCGTTTGGTTTTCATGCATTGATTTGTATTTGGGAGTCTTGCTGAATCAATTGGGATTAGGTTTGGCTATAAGTAATAACACACACACACACATACACACAAACAATAGCATGAAGGAGATAAGATTTATTGAGGTTCAAGAAGATACTTGCAGATGGATGCTTTAGGGCCAGTGCTTGTATAGCAGATGCCTTCTGTCTTGTTGCTCCACAGTGTGTGGTTTCCCTACTCAAGGTCAGCTCATGGTCTCAGATGACTGCTAAAGCTCCAGCCATTATGTCTTCATTTCAGATGGCAGGAAAGAGGATGGGGCATACCTTGCCCTTTATGGATGTATGTATCAATTCTGTTTTTAACCCATTGCCTGGAACATGGCAACACAGGCTATAAGGGAAGCTGGCAATGTTGTCTTTATTCTGGTTGGCTGTGTGTCCTGCTAAAAAAAAGTGTAGTACTATGGAAGAAGGGGAGAAAAGAATCTGTCACCTTGCTGAATTCTTTTCTTACTTATAGTATACACATGAGTGTATACACGTCCAAATTTATCAAGCTGTACACTACAATTTGTGCATTGTATGTACCTCAATAAAAATAAATTTTTTAATGTACAGCAAAAATACTACTTAATATTTACTCTAAACACATTCTATTTAACTGTGAGCAAGTTTGCTACTGTTTGTGTGTGTTTGTGTGTTGTTACTTATAGCCAAACCTAATGCTAATTGATACAGCAAGACTCCCCAATACAAATCATTAGTCTCATCTTGTTGTTTCTATTGGGTGTCATATGTGGTTGATCATATTACAAGAAACAATCCCAGTTTTATCTCTTTCCTTCTGATTCTTCTATTTAATTCCTTTCTTTTACAAATCTTATTCTGTTAGCCAGGACTTTCAGCATCATGTTAAATAGTAGTGACAACCTTGTCTTGCTCATACTTAAATAGAATGTGTTTAGAGTAAATATTAACTAGTATTTTTGCTGTACATTGAAAAACGATTATTTTTTATTGAGGTACATACAATACAATGTACAAATTGTAGTGTGCAGCTTGATGAATTTGGACATATGTATACACTCATGCAACCATCACCCAGATCAAGTTTTCAAACATTCTCACTAATGCTTTTCCTCTTCACTTATTTCATCCATCCCCCAACCTTGCTCCTCTGTGGGAACCACCTGTTTGGTCTCTGTGACTATGAGTCTATTTCTGTTTTGTTTGTTTGTTTGTTTCTTTTTTAGATCCCATATATAAGTGAAATCATATGATATTTGTCTTTTTTTGCTGTACCTTTTGGTCCTTCATAAAGGTAACTTCTTCCTAGTTCCTAGTTTTCTAAAAGTTCTTATTATTAAGAAGTGATGCACTTATTATTTGAGAATTCTATGAGACCTGGGTTGAATCTTCTATTCTCAATAAACACATGCTTTTGCTTCCTGGTCCATGTGGGTAATATATATATTCAAACCCATTTTAAAAGAGCTTATAATCTAATGGAAGAGATCAGCTACAACCACATATAAATAAGTAACAGTAAAAGGGAAATATTTTATTATCACATATTGCTTATATGTTTTATTTTAGATAAAAAATTATATATATCATTCTTAATCATAACAAATTGGAAAGTATAGATAAGCAAAAGGAAAACTAGATAAAGATGAACCAAATCTTGCTTATTTTGACAAACATGCTTAAACTCTCCCTAGACTTTTCCTCAGGTTCCTATTTAAATATTGCATGTGTATACTTTTGAGCCCCTCATTTAGACTATAAACTCTTTGAGACAATAAACATCTCATATAGCACCTTTTTTGGGGGATTATCACAGTACTTAGTACATCATTAGTCTCATTCCACTGGTTAGAAGAAAAATGACATTATCAATCTAAATGTATTTTTTTATATGGTGAAATTTTGTATAAACCATAAACAAGTAGGTTTCATACATATTGTAGGCTCATATATGACATCAATTACAGTGATATTTTCAATCCAAAATTATTTAACTTTTCTGTACTTTGAAGTGTAGTTAGAAGGTATGCCTATGATATTTATGAAAGATAATTTTCCAGCTTCATCTTCTTGTATATGACAGTATATGATACAGGCCTGTGCACAAGAAATGTAGAAAGGAAGATGATTATAGTAATGAGAAACAGGAAATATATAGGAGAAAGGAAATACATGTGAGAGAAAGGGTACAGATACAAGTGAGAAAGGAAGATAAGAAGAAAGGAAGAATAGGGGTTCTCAAATTTTCAAAAGGAAAGAATAAACAAGGGTTCTCAAATCAAAAGTTTATTTTGATATTTTAATATTTATTCCAGTCACCTGGGATGTTTGTTTAAAAAGCAAATGTTCAGGTCCCACAGAGATGGTGATTTACTATATCTGACAGCAGACCCAGGAATCTGGGTGGACTGTAAACGATTTAGGGAATACTGAAATAGGGGGAGCTCAGAATTAGAAAAACACATGGTGGCGGGGGTGGGGGCTTGGGGAGTTGGGAGGGTGGATTGGAGGTGTGCCAAAAACAAACAAGGGGGCAACTTCTGCCACAGGATGCTAACCCTGGGTATTCGGAGATCCTCCGGCAGATACTAGTGTATGTCTAGACTCAAAATCTTGTGTGTCATTAGTACCCTCTATATATGCAAGATAATGCTCTCACCTGAGCCATAAAATGACCTGACAGTGGAAGAAAAAAAAAAGTGCTTTCTAAATATTTTTCAGCACATTCTTAAATGTAGTAGAATAGCCCATACTAGAAATTTTTTCCCACATGAGGGATCTAGTTTGTTTAGATTATTAGAGGGTTACCTGGCTAAGGGAACAGTGCCCACCTTCTTCAAATGAGTATGTCCTGAGGTGAGGACGCTGGCCTCCTTACACTGCCCGATTCCAAAGGAGTTTTAATAAAAGAGGGGCAACACAAATGCAAGTTAGGTGTTACAAGAAGTTTGCAGCAACAGTTCATTTCCTTAGGTGGACTCAGGACTACAGTCTGAAATGGAGTGGGAATAAAATAAAAAAGAGAAGAGGTAAGAGGTGTCAGACTGAGTGTTCACACTATGGCTCAAGGGAAGGATCTGTATCCTAAAAATGACAATAATCAAGGAAACCTCTATGCCTAGAGTAAGCCTTCATGTACACGTATTCTGTCCTCTGAATTCCAGACCACTGTAGGTTTTAATCTAAGTATGAACATAAAATTGTTTTGCCCATTTCAAGGCTCTAGATCAACACTAGGTCTCTCTAGTTCACTTGTCTGTTCAAGTGGGTATTGGGTATTCTAAGTGGATTTGAAAATCTCTTCCTGTAGGGGTGTGATGTATGATTTGCCTTTCTTTGGTTTCTTGATAGGAAGCAATTGTAAATTTCAAATAACATACAGAAAGGCACCTTGTGGGAAAGAAGGTAGATTTTTGCAGGTGCATTTGCCTTTGTGGGCATTACTCTTCAGGTTTACTGGTGACCACTGGTACTTCCAAGTACAAGTGTGTGGAAAGTGTTAAGGTCTGTGAAGTGATTACGGGACTGTAGGCATGAAATCAGGAAAAAGCCAAAGCTCCTGGGAACTAGCAGTGAGATCTAGTAGTGAATGCTCCCTAACATTGTCCTCAGGGTACCTGGTGAGGAGGGTGGGAGAGAAGTGGGAAAGTGTAGTGTGGGCGGGAGGAAGGGTGAAAGAAAGCTTAAGTACATTCATGTATTTAAAAAAAGTTTTGCTCATGCCAGGTTAAGAGGTGCCTTTCCAGAAACTTGATAGAGAAATGGTATGTATTCAGAAGCTGCTTCAACCTGTCCACACCCTATCCTGACTTCCCCAGAGAATAGTCAAGCAAGGAGGCAAATGCTATTGCCAAGCCTCCTGTGTCTGGCTTCCAGTTTCCTCAGATCCCAGAGCTCAGCCCCGCAGGACGTCACACGGAGCTCTTCCCGAGAGTGGGCACTGAATGGACGTGGGGCAAAGTTTGACCTGAGTCACTCTAAATCTGGCTGCCCCTCGCGTGTGGGGTTTGGCCGCTGGGCTCCCCGGCCTCGCAAGGCAGAGGCTGAGCAGCAGGAGCTGCATAAGCAGCAGCCGCTGCTGCCGCTTGCGAGCCAGCCTTCGCCGCCTCCTCCTGCCGGCGCGGAGTCGCAGCGCAGCCAGTCCCTATCTCTGTCACGCCGCCAGCAGCTCGGCTCCTCCACCGCGCCCCCACGCCCCCACTCTCCCCGCCCCCTGCGCGGCCCCAACCCTCACACAGTTATTTGCGTGACTGACCCGAAGCCGGCGGGAGGGAGGACCCGGCCGCGGGCAGGAGGGGAGGGCGTTGGCCCGCCCACTCCTTCCCCTCTGGCTCGGGGCAGCATCTTCTCCTCCTCATTGGCCACACCCTTGCGTCCATCAGCCCCCTGTGGCCCTCGGATTGGTGGAAGGAACACTTCTGGAGCGAGGAGAACAGAGTGACTCCGCCGGTCTCCGGCGCCTCTTCTTTCCCTCCACCCCCGACTTCAACGTCCACCCACCTCTCCCCACCCCCGACTCTCCTTCCCCTCCCCGTTCGTGGCAGTGTCCTTAGAAGACTCATTGGGCCAGGGGCGAAGCCAGCCACCTATCGAGCCGCACCGTTATTGGCAGAGGCCCACGCCCGTCGGAGCGGCGGGTCTCGCCATTGGGTGGCTCGGCTCTGCTCCCCGCCTCTCAACGCCTCGCCCTCTCAGTCACCTCCTCCCCTCCGGCTCTTCCTCTGCCCCCTTTCCCCGCCCGTTCTCGCCGCATCTCCAGTGTCCAGCTGGGCGGGGACTGCTGTACGACTCTGTAAAGTCTGTGAGTCACTGCACAACCCATCAATCCAATTAAATGTCTTGAGTGAGCCGAGCAGGCGGTGCCGCCGCCGCCGCCGCCGCCGCCGCCAGCCCCGCCGCGGCCGCCCCTGCTCATAGCGCCCCTCTGATCCATGGCTGTCTGTCTGTACTTGTTACGGTGTAACCTCCTCCTCCTCCTCCTTTCCCTCCTCCTCCTCGGGAGCCGCTGCAACTTCCCCTCAGCCAGCCTCCTCTGTTTGGGGACTGTAAAGGCATGGGATAGACCCAGAGCCACTCTGTCTCCCCTCCAACCCTCGCTCAATTTCCCCCCCTTTTAAATTAAAGTCTGCTCCTCGCTCCTTGTTTTAGAGATTTGTCAGTCTATTATTTCCCCTGGTTTTTATATTTCCCTCCCTGGGGTAGGGGGTCGCAGGGGCCGGAGGGTTTATTTTAGGGAGGGGGCTCTCCACCCCCACCCCCACCGCCGCTTCTCCCTTTTCGGTTGTGCCTTGATTGCTCTGCTGCTCTCGGCTCCCACCCCTGGAACTCACCGTCCTGCACTGGAGTGACGCACCGACACCCCCCGCCCACAGCCCAGACTTCCCCTCCCTCGCTGCCGCCTCAGCCCGTCTCGGAGCTGGACCCGGTGCCGACTTCTTCGCAGAAGGGTGAGTACCGTATTGGGTTCTGGGCGGGGGATCTGGGAAGAGGCTGTATATAGCGGTCCACTTTGGGGAGGGCAGCGATCACGTTGTGGGCTGGAGGATCCTGGTCCGGCGTGGATTTGAGGTGGAGACTGCCTCCCTCCTCGCTCCCTCTTCCCCCGCCCCTCAACTCCTTATTCACCAGCCTTGTATTTCTAGGTATTGCCAGACTCACCATCGGGGCATTATAATACTTATAAAATGAGCGGTAATGGCACGCTTTCTGTCCCTAGGATGCTTAGTGAGCACGGTAATAGTCAGCGATGTGATCTGACAGCCTCTGTGACCTGCAGAAGTGAAAAAACGAATAATGGGTACATTTTTCTCCAAGTCAAAGTTCAACTTTTTTTCAATAAAGGCAAAGCGAAAGCTATTTCTAACTTGAATGTGTGATTATGACAGAGCAAGGGAAATAGGTAGTCTAGTGGTATGGCTTATTGTTTTTATTTTAAAATAGTCTTACGGCTTCCCTTTTGAATAAATTCAGTATTAAAGTAGAGGTTACAAAGTCTTTGAACCTGTTGGAGGAAAGCAAGGTAAGATGGGAATCCAGCTTGACACTTCATCTTTAGCTCACCTCTATTCTAGTGAAGCATTGCAACACAGAATTTTTTTTATTTCTCAGTCACTGGGCACAGTGGGGTGTGTTAAGAATACATACGGATTTTTTCTTTTATATTCATCCTTTGTATACCTGATTGCTCCTAAACAATGTCATGTCACAAAATTTCGTAAATTTTTTATTTGATTTCTGTGTTAGTGGTAGCTCAAAATACATACTGCCCCTGTATGCTTTACGAGAATCTTGTCTTATGCATCATTAACATTCAATATGAAGTAAAAGTAAAAATTATGAGAAATAGTTATTCTGAATCAGCTTCTGAGGTTACTTTTGAGAATTCAGCCTATTTAAAATGGGTTTTACCCTTTTTGAATCAAGGTCTGGTCTAGTTGTCCACAAGCTTCAAATTAGGCCAAACCAAACATGTTTGGAAATACTAAAGTACAGGAAAGGCCTTTTAGTAGTTCATTCTCTCCTTCTCTTTCAGACTAGCCAGAATAAGTTGTTACTAAATTTAATCTTAAAGAATAGACTGTTCCTGTACTGAAGTCTGCCAAGTTTCTACAAGATTCCTTTTTAAAGAGCAGCAATGTGTTTATGATCAGCCCAAAGTAGTAAAGTTGACTGAAATGTAAATGATGTTCTATGGAATTGCTTGTCATAAGCCCCAAAACCTTGGAAAGGGTTTCAGGAAGACTTATACAAAGCCTTTTTGAATTGTTTAATGAATTTCATCATGTGGCTCTTTTTATGAGTGTAAGACGACGTTATTGAGAGGCCTCATAGCATAGGGGAAGCCATGCTGCCTGAGTTTGACTCTGGCCTCTGTCGCTTGATGGCTCTTTGACCTTAGTTAAGTTTCAAACCTGGCCTTGTGCTGTTTTTTTTTTCCTGTAAATAGGAAGGATGACTTTTTTCTCAAAGGAGAGAATGCATATCATAGAGCACTTGTGTTATCTCTCCCATTATCATCACTGTCCACAGAAAGGATACCTATATACCTATAGTATAGTGGTTAAGAGTGGAGATTCCTAAGGCAGACTGTAGGTTCAAGTGCCAGCATTTTCTCTTGCTCTCTCTGGACCTTGGTCAAGTTAATCTCAGATTCACTGTTTGTAAAGTGGGGATAATAGAAGCATTTACTTCATAGGGTTATTGTGAGGTCTGGATGAGTTAATGTATGCAGAGATCTTGACTAGTGTTTGGTATTTTAAGTTTAATTCTCTGCTATGTTTCTTGTATGTGTTGAAAAGTGGGTGACTTTATTTGGAAGTAATATTTTGGTAAAGGTAAAGAACCATTGCTGTCAGTGAAAAAAGCAGAATTCTTATGCATGATGTCTTATGAGATTTATACTTTTAAACGAGTTTATGAATAGTTTCTGAAATTTAGTTATTAGATGAGTTGAGTTGATCACGCTGTCATTTAAACTTGAAAAATAGAATACATATACCTCTGTTATAATGCTTGTCACACATTTGCTGTTATCTGAGTGCCTGGTATGTAAAGAAGTTTAATGAATGCAATTGAACGAGTTAAATAATGTTATTCTCAGGTTGTTGATGAAGAGTTGTATGACTTCATAAGTGATATTGGGAAAAATATTGATTGTATTGTTGAGTTGAAATTTTATGTTCTCATTTTTGTAAGTAGAGAATAAATGAGGGGAATTACAGTATAGCTTACGTTTTATTAAGAAAATGTTTTTCATTTTGAAGATGAAACTTAAAATAGTCTGAGAAGTACATATGTAGTATCTTCCTTGGATGCCTGATGTGTTCATTTTTCATTATAAGACTTTCTGACTCCCAGACTTTCTGTTCCTATGGTGGATGTTATTAGAATTAATGCGAATTATACAAATTAGATTTTGAATATCCTAAATGTTGATGTGATGTTATTATTGGCTTCTGAATTAAAAATAATAAAGATAATTTATCAAAGTAACACTGTGAAAATAAAATGGCATCATTTCCTTAAGGACCAAATTTTTATTTCTTTCCATTCAAGAGTGTAACTTTCTCTTGAACAATCTCAATAATTAGCTTTTGAAATAGCTCTAGTAAATAGTGTAATAGGGATCATAAAGGAGGTATATGTAATTAGTAAATAAAACACTTAAACTTTAAACTTTATCACATTTAATAGCATTACATATCTGGGAAATATATATTTTTAAATAAACAGAATTGATGGTGCCTACCACCTTATTTACAGAATCATTCTGTTTTACTTGTCAATAAAATCCAATTTAATCACCGCGCTCTCTGAAATTATAAAGTGCAAGAAATAATCTTTCATGAAAGAGATGTCAGTAGTGAAATCTGAATACTAATCTATTCAGAAGTGTTACAGTGTTCCATAGCATTGTTAAAACTTTTCAAATATGTGAATTTTATCTACTACACTGTGGATAATTTTGTATAAATAATTCTTTGTTAAACCAAATCACCAGTTACCCAATTTTGTTGACTGTATTACATTTTCACTGGCTAAAACAATGATTTTAGAAAACCTGCCCTTTTTTGTTCATATACTTTTAAAGCAGCCAATCTAAAATGAAACTTAAAAAAAAATTAATTTATAGACACTTAGAAACCACACCTAAGTGTCTGGTCTGGAATATGGCAGGTCGCTTATTTTCCACTTAATACATTTTAGGATGACATTGTTTCTGTCTCATCTCTTTATTTCATTCAACATTTTTGTGAAGACATTCAAGTATTTATTAGTATTTTACATATGCATGTGATTTTAGGGCTTGTGATTTCTATTCTTGTCTTCCAACAGTAGGAAAATGGATAACCATGTACTCTTGTCAGTGATCAAAAGGGGAGAAAGAAAATATATGCATTATCTGTTGACATAAAGTTAGAATTAAGGTCCGTTGAGTCTAGACTGAGCAGTGCTACTGATTGGCACATGACCTTTAGCATTATACTTAACCTCCACAGCTCTCCATGTTCTTATCCTTTCAGTGGAAGGAGGGAAGGCAGTTACCCTGCCTACACTCAGAAAGGATGTTTTAGGGGTAAGTTTTAAGTGCTTTTTAAAAGAGTTGGAGAAGGATAAAATGCAGGCAAATGTAAAGTAAACATTAGCATTCAGAAATGGATATCTGTTTATCATTATTTAAAAATTGTGACCTTTTAGATCTTTCATCTGAAGGACATTTTTCCTTTTAACTTTATATTTGGAGAGACTTCTTAGTGGTATGTTCACAAGAATGTATATGGTACCTTTTAAAGAGGCAAGGCACTGTAATTTAATGAATGGAATTTTAAATGTTAATACTGAGTTGTTATAACCATCCTGGGTTATAGCAGATGTTGATGCTGTAAGAAAAAACTTTCTGTACCTAGAAGATAATAAATTTTATTAAGGGAAAGCTTGTAAGATTTGACATGCATTGCAGGAAAAATGTTCGGATAGATCAGGTTCCATTAGATGTATATTCAAAGAGAAAAATTAATCATTATTTACTTTTAAATTTCAAAAGGATTACTTGTTTGTAGGATGTCTTGTTTATTTCGTACCTTGAATACAGTGAAATGTGCACATTTCAGAATATAATGGCTTGGAGGATTTCATTTATTCCAGCTAATATTTTATTTAGAAGGGGAGTGAAAACGTGTGGAAAGACTACATTTTAACAAACTAGTTTTTTCTCTTCTCCCTAAAAGTGAATTAGGAGTCTTTATAAATCAGAAGCCCAGAGTTGGCATATTATATAAGTTTCTTTGAGTTCAGCTTTACCTCTCTGCGGTTATTAGCAGAATTGTCAAAGTGTCATGGTTATTCACTTTTTAAAGTGGAAATGAAATTATAGTGTACTCAAAGTAAGACCTATTAAAGCAAGTGGGGCCCACAAAGAAATATTGTTTATTCCAGCTAATATTAAGTATAGTGAACAGTGATCCTCAAATGCTTTAAAAAATATGTTGTCTGTGTGTCCAAATTGTTCAATATCCAAATGATGGAAACTTCGAATGATCAGATTTCTTCTTCAGTTTTGAATTTAAAGTCCACATTGATGTTTGTAATGTTTTGTGTGGTGGTATATAACTCTTTAGTATTGAATGTTTACCTTTAAGATATTAAGTAAAATACCCAGTCCACCCTTCATGTAAATTTTATGTTTTTTGCAACCCTCTCTTCTTTGTTCCGTCATCATTTTTCAATTGTCTTAATATTCCCCATGAGATTGCCTTCAATGCAGCATCTTCCTTATTTTGCTGTACCTTCTTTTTGCATTGGTTTCTTTTTCCTTGATCACAGGAGGATTTTTTCTCTTGCTCTCTTTTGCTTCTGCCTCTGTATAAGGCATGGACTAGGGGTTTCATTTCTTTCAGTCTGCTTTTGTGAGACTGAGCCAAAGGCTTTCTACAGAGAAAATTTGCTTTGCCTTATTTCAAAAGATGAGCTCTCTGATCATCTTATCTACACAAAACTTAAGGGGCCATTTTGTAAACCTGAAACCAAGTTTTAGCTTATGTGAGGTGGTGCAAAGGGAAACTGTGATGTGTTTATTGTATTGCCTTTCTATTAATCTCTCTTACTGGGGGATACCCTCAGAATTTTTTTCTGTTCACACTACCTTGAAACATCTCAAACACTCAAGC